CATTTATCAATATGATATCAATAGGACATTCTTACCTTACAAATCATCTTATTTTTCATAATCAAAAAGGGGAAAATTGTTGATCTGCGGTTGATTTCATCTTTAATGTTTTGATCATAACAAATAAAATTAATATTTTTTTTAACAATTGATTTTGAGTGATATTAGTTCTGTGTTAAAATCGATTAAGCATTGCCCAAATCAACACATTATAAATCAGACTCGAAATGAAAATCAAAATGGAAGTTAAGCATTCAAGTCAAATCATTCGATATGAGAGCTTAAAAGATAAACGTCAAGAAAAAACAAAATCAAGAGTACGAGAAACGACATGAATGAAAGATCAAGATGAGACGTCTAAGAGGCAAATTTTGAAACAATCTCAAAAACTAGATTTCTTAATTCGAGTATAAAGGTACTAATACTTCAATATTTAGCAATGAATGATAAAAGCTTAAAAATCATTTTATGCACAAAAAAGATTATTTCATAAAAATATTTGCATAAAAAAATTATTTTTCAAAAAGGTAAGTGTTTCAATTTGATATTTAAATTTTTACAGTGTTACTTATTTGAAAGATAAATTGAAAATGTTCTTCAAAAGCCCACAAAAAATAAAAAAATAAAAAAAATCAAAGTCAAAGTCAATGCGGATGTTCGATTTGTCCAACGGTCAAATTTTAACCAAGATTTTTTAACCTAATTGCATTTATTTCTTTTTCATTTTCTCATTGAAACACTTTGATTGATTGATGTAATTTTTTATTATCATATTCATCAAAGTTTTTTTTATCAAACACTTGAGCTATCATTTATTATTATTCACTGAAGTGTTAGTCTCTCTTAGTACTTAATTTGTTTGTATCATTTATCAATAAATGTATTCTATTGTAAAATCATTTTGATAAAGTGGGTCGTGTTGAAGTCCCTTAATGATCAACATTGTATAAGAATCGATGCTCTTTATTGTAAGTCACGGTGTGGGTCATATTGAGGTCCAGTTAAAGCTCAATAGTGCGCCGTGTTGAGGTCCCGTAAAATTCAACATTGCATAAGGATCAGTACTCCTTGTTTGTAAGTCACTGGAAGCGTTGTAAAGGGTTTGATTGCACCATAAGCCAATGAACATAGCGAAAAGGCCTTACTCGTACTGGAGAGCTTGGTAACAAAGGACATAGATCGTTGCTTTGTATCTAACCTCGACAATTATATTGTTTGCATCATCTCTCCCTTTTACTTATCGCTTTTATATTGTGTTTATTATTTGAATTAATCTATTTAGTTTTTACTTGCTTGAATTTAGATAAATTTTT